CTTTGTGACCTTATAGCTTTTTGGATTAATACACTATAAGTATGCACTCTACCTTATATTTTCCATTGTATAAATGGGCTTTCTTATTTATTAGAAACCAATAACACTTACACAACTTTAAATAACTTACTCTTTTTTTCAAATCTGCTCGGTATATCAAAATACTAACTTAAACATTAAAATGGCTTTATTAGGGTACCCTCTATTGTAGCTTTCTTTGAACCTCTAGGAAAAGCATGAAAAAAATAAAAATGACTTGAATGGTACAATCCCTTTGTCGTCCCACTAACCTTGGTGTTGGAGTTTCATGTACGCAAGATTTAAGAGGACACCACCATTATTTTTTCAACCCCTCAAGGAAGTTGAAAGCCATACATAATCAATCTAAATGCTCAAAATCTTGTGCTTCGTCACATTCCAAGTCAATATTTATGTTGTGGGTTATTTTATGCATGTTTTAATTAATATGACTTTGGACAAATGTTATGGTTATGGTTGAGTAATAATTTGTAAAAGAGTCTACTTACTAATGGTTTGGACTTATGGATTTGATTAATCACTTAACATACTCCAATTTATGCATTGATTATGTTTTATATATTTTTATTTATAATAAACTACATTTATAGTACCAAATTTAGCTAAAATATCCAAATTAAACATTATCAATATTGCACAATAAACCTAGATTGGATGAGAGATGAATCGCGAGCCAATAATTCATAATCCCTATTATTTAATCTTTGAATTCCAATTCTCAATGTGTAATTATATCTAAATGTCGTGTCCAAACCAATTAAACAATATGTAATCTATAAAAAATGGGATTGCGGACTATGATCCCATCATCATAGAATTAGGAATTGACAATACGCAAGAAACAAATGAAATTAGGAATAATTATATGAATACAAACAAAAATTGCAACATAATCAAATAATGAAACCGTAACCAATGAACCAAATATATATAGCCTACAAACTACTATCTATCCGATTAAAGTCTATTGAATTACATCCTGTAAACTACAATATACATACTATAACCAATGATCTACAACCTACTAAATTTAAGAATGTTGAAACTTAAGAGAATATTCTATGAGTTATTATGCAATTTGCAATTGTGATTTGTTATTGTTCCTTGCTAATCCCCTTTTCTACAATATCCTATATATGTCGTTGACCCTTTTTGATCCTTATAACTATCCACATTATCCACCACCTGGATCTATCCTCTAGGCAACATCATGCTTGTTATAACGATTCGAGATTAATATAATCTACTAGTACAATTTTATCATCGTAAAAAAAAAAATTGTTCTTCCAGCCAATGTTCTTCTACGGTTCTTAAGGTGTTTAGGTTGCCATCTATTGTCTTTTCTTATTGTTATCCAACATACAAGTTCATCATCATTGGTATAGTCTATAAGCACTAATGGTGATTAAGTTAATAAAAGTAAGCTATAGAAGTTGGGTTCATATTTAGTTAGTTGCATCTTCGGTGGAAGTTCAAGAAAAAAATAAACAAAGGAAGAAAATCGATAGTAAGACAAGGACCAAACTAGATTTGGATACCGATGTGGACCAATAAGTCTTGGACTTCATGAAACGGTATGAATGTTATAGAAGCTAAAAAAAAACTATAGACTTAATTTTAAGGTTTTTTGGACCAAGTTCGTGTCAAACGGGCTAAGGAGCAACACTTATGGGCCATGCCTATAACATAGAAGTGATTTTGGCAAAAAAAAAAAAAAAACACTATTTAAGCCCTTAAAATTGACTTTTACTATTTTTCAAGATTTTTTCCTTTTTTGTAGGGTTTTTTAGTTTTTATTTTTATTTTTATTTTTTTAGGGTTTTAGCTGAATTTTTCTACTTATGTATAACTTGAAGGCTAAAAACGTAACTTTCTTTGATTAAAAAATTTTATGAGAAAGTATCTCAAGTTTATTCTAATTTTTGGCATTATTTTAATCAACGAAATCAAAGTTTATTTCCTAGTAGTTGTGTGTAATTCAACGGGTTGTAGTAAACTGGCATCTAAATTTTAGAACATCGGTATTTATTTTATTTTATATTTTGTAAGGTTCTATTACATTAGTTGGTATTAGAGTCCGAGTTGTCATTGTCTTGACCAGTAGTAAAAAAGATAGCAACAATGAGATATGGATGAAATCTACGAGTGCACCGATGTGATGCATTTTAAAAAGCGATTTGAGTAGATGAATGATAGGATAGAGTTGTCATTACGGGAGTTGGCACAATAGATAGGGTGTTGGCGTATTAGATGGATTCACCGACGATAAACATGGGTAAACGCCATAGGAATCGGGCTCGAAATCATAACTAAGAGATACCGGAGGTTGGCTCGGATGATGAAAAGGATGAAGGAGATGTTCCACACGGAAAACGGGATTCCTATGAGATATTATAATAGGAGGAGATAAGAGAGTGGTATGGGGATTGAGATTCTTGAATTTTATAGTACCCTCTAGATAGAAGAGTTCTTGGACCGATTATCAATGGTGGAGGAGATTTTAGAGTTTAAAGAAGTTCATGAGGATAAATGTGTGTCTTTAGTAACCATCGGATTTAGAAAGAAAGCGAGCATGTTAGTGGGAGCAATTGAACCGATAAAAAATAAGATGGGTAAACCTAAGATTAATTATTAGAAAAAAATGAAGAAGCACATAAGTACGATCTTCTTAACCTATAACTTTCATAGGATGATGTACCAATGGTTACGGGATGCGAGATAGGGGGTCCGATAAGTAAATGATTATATCACTAAGTTTTACCAATGGCTAGCTCAAAACGAGTTACAAGAGACGAAGCATCGGTTGGTGACGAGGTCTATTGGTGGTCTAAAACTATAGGTTAGGGATTCCGTTAATATGTTTGACCTTGTGTGTCTTCTTGCTGCCTTTCAAAAAACACTACAAGTTGAAAAACAATCATGTTGGAGTTGTTTTACTTACCTTTTTAGCACCGAAGCGATATCGCACGATTGCTCGGTGGTATAGCTTGGACGAGGAAAGGGAAGGTAGCAAGATCACCATAATAATTGGATAGAGCGAGCAAGGTAGTCGATATTAATATAAATTACTTTAGATGTGGTGAAGTTTGCTACAAACAATCCGAGTGTTAAAAGGTAGAGAAGAGAGCACTTTTTATTGACGTTGAAGATTATAATGAGGGTGATGTATAGTTAATTGATGACCTAGTTTATGATGATAGAGATACCACGGAAAAGGAGGTTGTGATGGGTGATGAGGAGACAAGACTAGTTATTTGGAGGTCGTACTTCACTCCTAGAGTTGTTGATGATGATTAGCAAAGGAGTAATACCTTTTAGTCCGTCTACAAAATTTAGGAAAAGATTTGTCATTTTGTCATTGAAGTTAATAGTTGTGAGAATATTGTTTCGATAAAGTTGAGCGGAAATTGGGTCTTAAGATAGAGAAGCGCCACTAAGCCTTACAAGCTAGCTTGGCTTAAAAAAGAAGGAGAGGTAACTGCTTCTCAATAAGCTCTAGTTTTGTTTTCTATTGGCTCCAAGTATAGGGATGATGTGTGGTGTGATGTGGTTGCCATGGAAGAGTGTCATTCACTTTTGAGTTAGCCGTGGTCGTATGATAGGAGCATAACTCATGATGGGTGAGCTAATACCTATAGTTTTAAGTTTAATAGTGTAAGGATTGTGCTTGTACCTAGTAAGATCCCAGTTATTTCTAAACTTATAGGTGATATTATTAAGCTGGAGTTGCTAGCTTAGTTTGAAGAGGAGTTGCGGGATTCGAGGCGGTCTATGTATTTATTGTAAAGGAAGTTGGAACCGATGAGATAATACCGGAAGCAATAGCCACCTTTATTACCGAATATCATGATGTATTCCCAAAAGAGTTGCTTGTAGAGATAGTTGAGAAGATTAACCCTAATGCTTATCACCTCAAGTTACCTAGTCATATTCACATTGTCAATATGTTCAATGACAAGCACTTGACTCCACTTCATAGTGATTCTTCTAAAGATGATGATGTAGACAATTTCAAGTGAATTTTCTCTTTCCGGGGGGAATGATGTGCACCAACGGACCTTGGAATTCATGGAATGGTATGAGCGTAATAAAAGCCGAAAGAAACCATCAACCCAATTTTGAGGTTTTTTAGATCTAGTTCGATGCCAAACGAGCCAACGAGCAAAACAAATGGGATATGCCTATGATGTAGGAGTGATTTTGGCCAAAAAAACACTCGTTTATGCCCTCAAAATTGACTTTTGTTATTTTTGAGGATTTTTCCTTATTTTCGGGGTTCTTTGTATTAGTTTCCTTTTTGAATTGCTTTAGGGTTTTGGATTAATTTTCCTACTTTTGTATGATTTGAAGGTTGAAAATTGCAGCTTTGTTTGATTAAAAAAAGTTTACAAGAGAGTATCTCAAGTTTATCCTAATTTTCAGCATTTTTTAAATCGACGTAATTAAAGCCTATTTCTTGATAATTGTATGCAATTCAACAAGTTATAGTAGATCGGCATCTAAATTTCAGATCAACGGCATTTATTTATTTTGTAAATTTCCGCTATGTTACGTACTATCTATATAAAAAAATCTATGGGTCAGCATTACAAATTGGGCCAAATTCTCTCAGCTTACTATTTTCTGTGGCTTACATTACATTATGGATAATTTGGATGACAATTAATTACATTTGCATCGATAATTTTTTGCCCAGAATCTAACCAGAAACCTCAAGTCGAGTCTTCAACAGGTTATTCATACCAAGACTATTGGTGCATTAAGAAAGGCTGCGAAGGCCGCAAGCAAATTGGAACGGAATATAGAAGAAATACAACACTGTTTATATACCAACAGGCCGGAATGAAATAACTGCATCACCATTATTATAGTATCGTAGAAAAACAAAGTTTGCAACCATACATGGAAACGAAAAGTGAGGCATAGATGGAATTCACATCCAAGTTAAGGCATTATAGAGGCTACTTGTTGTCTAATTTCTCCCTGAGACCTCTCACGTAGGCTAACATCTTATCATTGTCCGGAATGTTTTCTTTAATCAGAGGAACTTCAAGGAAATTCTTAGTCCAAGTATGCAATCGAGGCAATGTGGTTGGTTCCAACACTTTTACACCTATTGCTTCTTCAGTGGTTGCAAACCAATAAGAGAATACTCCATACGAGATGTCTACTAGATTTATGCTGTCCCCACCGAAAAACTTCTTATCTCCAAGGCATTGCTCTTCTAAGACTTTCAGCACTTCCAACAATTCTTTTGCTGCCTTGCCTAGCTCTTCTCCACTAGCTCGGATGAATGCCCTAAAGACAGCAACCTAAATAACAAAAGGATTTAATTATTCTTTTCTTGTAAAAAAAAAAATAAATAAATAGAACTATTTATCCCGAGGAAAGTAATAATAACATCGAAATTAATTTTGGAATCCTTTTTTTTTTTTTTTAATGGCTGCTATCAAATAAACCAATCATTGTAATCCACATGAAATTAAATATATACACATGAGGAATGCCATGAGACTTGTGAGTAGATGAATCTCTTTACCATAGTAACTCCATATTGAATCCAAAACCGAGCCATGGTTCTCTCATAAGGATCTTTTGGGAGCAATGGATTCTCCGGCCATATTTCTTCAATGTATTCAAGGATAACTAGAGATTCCGCGATTGGCTTGCCACCATGGACAAGGACAGGGATCTTCTTGTAAACTGGGTTATACTTCAATAACAGTTCACTCTTATTAGAGAGGTCTTCTTCTATATACTCATACTCCACACCCTTTAGTTTAAGAGCCCATATAACTCTTTGACTAAAAGGGCTAGGCCAGAAACCATGTAACTTCACATCTGCCATTGTTTTAATGAGATTAGTATGCAAGGTCTACTGCTGTGCCAAGTATTATTATAGTGAGTTCTGGCTTGGGCAATAAGTTCAAGTTTGAAAATTTGGATGCAAGAAACATTTGTTAATTTCCAAGTATTGACTTGCTTCATAACTTTGATTTCTATTTTTTATTTTTTATTTTTAATATAACTTGGACATCATAATTCTTCAAAACTTTTAGATATGTACGAGATAATGAAAGAAGATTCTCAAAAAGTAAAATGAAATAAAGTGAAATGAAACAAGATTTCTATAAAAACAAAAAAAGAAGATCTTGATTCAGGACTAGAGACACATGAAATTTTGTTGCTGAAATTTTGTTACATATTAGGATATTCTAAAGAATATCACAATCCGATTAGCTTCTGTGAATGCGAATTATGAATAAGAAATTTATATCTGATGAGTCAATAAAATTAAATATGCTCCTTCTGACATTGTAATTGAACTTTTCGACCCCTTGCCCAGGTAAGTTTAAAGCAACACTAGTTTTTTTTACGCTGTAGACTGGATAAAGCAAATGATATCATTTGAAAAAATTATTTTAATTTGATAATTGATTTATGTTGTGATTCTATAAAAATATATAAAATCAAAAGTAAAATAAAATTATTTATAATTTTTTTTATCAAAGTTTTAAATTTAACTATTTCTTCTTTGTATTTTTCACAATTTTACCACAAAAAAATATTTATTCTTCTAAATCCATGGGTTATTAACTAAAAAACAAAAATTAAATAATTTTTTAATAAGCAAAACCTTAGTATTTCATATGATTGTATCAAAAAAATAAAATAACCATTAATAAAAACTAACATAGAAATAAACAAATAAAAAATTTTATTTTTTTATTTTTATTTAATATTGATGAGAATATTAGTTTTTAAAAGCTTGTGCATTTAATTTTTTGTATTTACTCACAAAAGGATGAATAATATGAAAATAAAAAATTGTATTTGATTTTTAGGTGGTTACACTAAAACATAATTCTAACATAATTGTAATTATTTAATTTGAAAGAAATTAATTTCAAAATATCCAAAAATAAATAAATAGTAAATGCTTAATGTTGTGGTAGTTGCATAGTTAATTGAAAAAACAACGATTAATTTTTTTATATATATACATCATAACTATATTCAGTGGGCTCATAGTTTGTAGCATAAAACAAAAAACACTATAAAAAATAGATTCTAAGGAATATCTTGAATAAATAAAAATTAATTTCGATCAATTTTCATTATATATATATATATATATATATATATATATATATATAACACATGACTAGGCCATGCATGGCTAGTCGTTGTTCATATGACTTACATGTAGAGCAACCATCTCCTTTTTTTTTCTTTTGAAATTTACTTTCAACTATTAATTAACTTATTTGAATTTTTTTTAAAAAAAATTGAGATAAATTATTTAAAATACGCTTTTAATCTAATATATATATATATATATATATATATATATATATATATATATATATATATATATATATATATATATATATATATATATATGAGTTTCAAAAGAGACTATGGTAATATGGGCAAAATAACATATGTATTTGATTATGAAAATTATAATTGTTTTTTTATAAATAAATAAAGTTAGATAATCTAAGAGTTTCAAATTTTAGGGTTATCATTTAAAAATATATATTTTTTTAATGCATCCAATCAATATAAATAGATCATTTTTAAAATCATCGTAATAAAATATTTAATTTACGTCGATATATAAACTAAACCCTTTAGATATTTAAATATAAGATAATTAAGAATTCGGATCCAATTACCAAAAAAAAAAAAAACCTAAAAATACTATTTAGATTACTTGTTCATGTAGAAACAAATTATTATGGATTAACTATAGCTCAATCCATAATGCTCTTGGTCTTTTTTTTCCTCGCCTTTCTATTTCCTACTATTTGTCTTATCTCAAAATTTCATTTTTAACATAAAATCTTAGCTCTCATTTCACCAAAAGATGCAATTCATATTGATAGAGATGTAATCTCCACAACCAATCATTGCTCACCACATGTCCCACCTTATAGCTTTCATTTAAAAAAAACTCTCATTTTATTCTCTCATGTATGGATTCTCTCTCTCTTCTCCTCTCATCTTCTCTTTTCTATTTTTCTTGGCCAAGAACAAAGAATTTCTCACCAAGATTGTCGACGGCGGTGTTCCTCCACCACAAGTTACATATGGTTGTTTTTCTTGATTGATTAAGGAATTTTGGAGATAGGTTTTTGGAGTAGTGTTTGTCTCTATTTTTTTGTTTATTTTATACTTTATTCCTCTCAATATTTTATTCAATTCATTCAAATTACTAATTTAATTTTGACTTATTGCTAACTATCTTTTTTATTATTTTTTATTTTTTTATTGGATTTGATTTTCTTTAATTACGGCTACAACTTTGTTGGTAAGTCGTAGAGGCCTCAATATTTGTTTTAGGTGAGTTCTTTTTTTCTAAATTGATTTTAGGATTCTTGGTTGATTTTTTTTTCTTTTGATTTTTTCCCTCAATATGCTCGGCTCTCTATTTTTTTTTTATATTAACCATTTTTTAGGATACACTATTGCATTTTTTATACCTAGAGGTGTGTTGTTTTTTTCTTTCCGGATCGGTTTACATCTTTGAAGTTTTTTTAAAACATTATTTACTCGTTAAGCTTTTTGTATATGTTGGTTTATTTTTTGTGGTGGTCTTATTTATTTGATTTTTGATTTCTATCTTGATTGATGTTGCTCTTTCTTTTGTGTATATATTTTATTTTTAATTTGTGCTTTTTGCTTATGTTATGGTTTTCTCGTTATGTAAAATTTTTGCTTATCCTTCGTTTGCATAGTTGCCCCTTCGTTTTTTTTTTTATTTTTATTACATTGCCTTGGATATTAGGCCGTTCTCGTTGTCGTTTGTTTTGTTGTTTCATGGCTTTGTCTACCTCATGTTTTTTTCCTAGTTGACTAAGAGTAAAAAGGTTGTGTACAAGAACTTGTACGCATTTGTTCCTTTTTTCATTTTATTTTCTTTTGTTTTTTTTTTTCTATATGGATTTTATGTTTTGCTTTGACCTTTGTTGTTTGAGGTTTCTCTTTCAAAACTCTTAATATCGCCAACGTATTACAATTTCTCATTAGCTTTTTTTTTCCACATGCTTAGTAGTTACGGAGAAAAAATACGGGAGTGATGGAGGTTGTTTGTAACTTTTTTTTTCAAATCTCTTTACTTTTTGGATACTCAATTATCTATTTGTCATTTATTTCTTTTTAGGCTCCTCTTATCCTTTATTTTTCATCTCTAGTGGCTCTCTCTCTCTCTCTTCATCCAAGATCTTTTTTTATACGAGTATTGTTCACTTAAGACTTTTAACATTTTTTGTTGTTATTTATACGTTCATTGTTGGTCATTGTCTTTCAAAATTTTAAATCATAGATTTTATTGGATTTTTCTCTTCTTTATCACATTTCTTGATTTGTTTTGATTTATTTGGCTTGCCTCTTCATCTCTTATTTGATATTTTTTTTATATGTTCGCCTTAATTCAATTATGGCTCTTTGCTTTGATATTTTCTTGCCTTATGGAAAGAACTTGGTTAGTCCGAGTTGGGCTTGCCGACAACTTTTCTTTTTCTTTTTAGGTGTGTTATTGACATTGGATATTAGTTCTTTTATGTGCTCAAGTTTTTAAGAATATCGGAGAGTTGGGGATTGTTACACCTTTAATGCATGTGTTTTGGTTTTCATTTCGTTTTGAAATTCTTAATCACCTATTTAATATTTGTCGTATTTTTTCTTATGAGGCTATATTTCATGTTCCGTTTGGATAAAAAATATGATTTTAACTTATCTATTTCTTTGCATTGCATTTCTTATGCATGCATCTTTCAATACATGAACATTGAGTTTTGAATTTTGAGCATAGAAAAGACTTTTTTGGCTTCTTGTTGCATATGGAATTCTTGACAACAAACTTTTACAGTTTTCTAAATAGTGACATAAGCTTGCAACAAGTTATTAAGTCTTTTTAGTTTGCACCCATTAAATTGTTGCATATAAACGAGTTCCTTTATATTCAATAACTATTTTTGTTATGTTTGGAATTGACATAAATCTCTCATAACTCCTATTTTTTTTCCTTCAAATATGTGTGTGCGAGTCCATAGTTTTACTAACAGATTAGAGATATCTCGCTCAAAACTCAGCAAAATAGCTCAATGAGCAGTTGAAACAGATTGATATAGATGTTTCAAAAATATTCACAAAATCGAGACCCTTTGACCCTATTTCTAAATAGTTCACTTGCTTTTCATTAAAATTGACACTCTACCGCGAGTAGTCTCTCTATATAAAATATTCAAATATGCCTTTTTTTTCTTTTTTCTTTGTACAAATTCAAGGCCATATTTAATTGTTTTATAGATTGGAATGTTATGAGGAGTTTGGGTTTTCTTTTAATTTTTTGTGCTTTCCACACGGACTTGGAAGTAGAAAGAATATAGGTCAATACATACATCATATGTGTGTGTGTGTTTGTGATTACGATAATTATATAATAGTTTAATCAATTACGTGAATCTTTTTTGAAAACCTCCTCTTTTACTCAAGGTTGTGTAAATTTAATTAACTTTGACCTTTTAAGTTGATTAATAGTTGATTGTGTTATTTATTCATATGTTTGAGCACATTGTCATTTACATTTAGTGAATGTTTTTGTTGTTATATTTTATCTTTTTGTTGAGTTTCATCTCATTATTATTGTTGCATTTTTTTACATCCTTACAAAGACTTTGTTTTTGCTCCTCAACTATGTTATCTTTAAGATTTTGATCTTTTTTTTTTTTGCTACCAATAGATCAGCTCTTTTTGTATAAATATTTACTATCTTACACTATAATCTGTCATCATGAATTTTCCTTTTGTTTATCATACAATTGCATTATGCTTTTTTATTTATATTATATTTCAACAATCTCTTCCGATCATTTCATGGTTTTTTTTATTACAATGGACTAGATTGTGTGCTTCAATGTTTATAGATGGTTAACAATCATGGTATAGCAAGCAATCTGGATAAAAAAAAATTGCATTTACTTTTAACTTTTTGCTTTATTATGTTTTCGTTTAACTTTTTGCTTTGTGTTATGGTGCAAAGGATTGACCATGGTATTTACATCTCTTCCGTTATCTTTTGTGTTTTTATTAGACTATCTACAAGACCTCTCTAAATAACATTAGTTGTTTTATGCCCGATTGCAAATTTGAGTGTGAAAAATGGTATAAGTACAATACCTACCGTAGGCACTTATTTACTTTTCATTTTTAATTAACCTTAATTATTTTTCTATATTATTGAAAAAAATGCACGCATGAAAAAAAACATATAAAAGATAATTATAGAAAAAAAAGTATAAATGACAAATGCCAAAATAACATTCTCTTACTCGTTTGCTACAAGGATTTGCACTTACAACAACAGATTATGCAAGCAAATAATCGTTAAACACATTAGTTTTATTATATTACTACATAAGTATTTTACTACATATGGTACTATTTTTCGTGCAACGTAGTGCGAGCAACAAGCTAGTTTCATCTCAAGCAAAATAAATTTTTGTGTTAAACAAAAAATCTTACAAAATGACATTTCGTGCTAAAGAAATGGCTGGATAAAGATTCACTCTACAAATTAGATTTTTGTTTTGTATAAATAAGTCACCAAAGTTCTATTTATATTAAATAATAAATTTAAGGTTCGTTTACGGTTTTCACGTCCTTTTAATGTTTTAGTCGTAATGCATAGTTATCTATAGGTAACAAATTAACGAAGTAGTTGGTAATCTCCTCACAAAGAAACCAATTCTAGCTGTAACTTAATTCCAGTCGAAAGCAAGCAAGAGGGAGCAACAAACAAATTCCAATCGGAAGCAAGCAAAATGGATTGATGATCGAAAGAAACCAAGTCGTAGGTTCGTTCTAGCTACGAGCGGTAAGCTAGAAACCAAGAGGAAAAGAGAACCAAAGGAAACCAAGCCAACCAAGAGGAAGAAAGGAGGCCAAATGAACTTGCTAAGGAAAGGAAAGACTATGGAAGATTCAACCAACGAGCCCTTCAACAAGATGATGACAAAACAAGAGACAGGAAAGAAGAGTAATGATGAAGGGAAAAAAATTAAAGAAAATGAGACAACAACATTTAATGGGCCGCAACAAAAAAATGGGCAAAGATGAAAAAGGACGAAGGGTCGCTAGATTCGAGAAATTTTACAATACATAAGAAGTAATTACTAGTATGTACAGTAGTTATTCAATGGATCCACTCGAGGAAAGAGATGGACATAAAAAATAGGAGAGAGAAATAAGAGAGAGAAATTTTTTTTAAAAAATTAAACCAACGTGGAAATCTTTTTATCATTTTTGGTGGGTCCGAATATAATTTAATATGTTTGTTTCTCTCCTCAAAGTGGATCCATAAAGTAACTATTATATATGCCGCTAGTTACTCCCTATTTATTATAAAATTTCTTACTAGATTTCAAATAATTAACAAGGGCTAATGAGATAATTGCATAAATCCATCCAATGGCGTAAATGAAATAACGAAGATGTAGAGAGGCAAAGAATCAGCAAAAAAAAGGAAAATTAAATAGTAGAACAAATAATATTTTTGGATGAGGGGCAACCATTCTATATAACTAAAAGATCTCGGGAAAATGAACAATAAATACTATTCATTTGTCTGTTCATTAATCTTAATTCACTATTCATCCGTACTATTATTGTAATTTTTTATAATTTTTTTTTCATTTATTATTGTCACACAGCTACTCGGCCTATATATATGTATCAACTAGGCGGGCGTGGGTCCGGCCTATATATATATGTATCGACCGAGTTAGGCCTCTTTTTTATTTTTTTCTTAGCCTAAGCTCTGGCCTCTTTTTTATTTTTTTTCCTATAAAATTATTGAAAAAACTAAAAGATCCGAGATTGTTACTATTCATTTATCGTAGTAATTTTTTTTTGGCTCGGGTTGAACGGCCAAGGTCGCTCGGTGTATGGGCCCGTCCTAACAACACCCGACCCTCTCTCTCTCTCTCTCTCTCTTTCCTTTCTCATATATATATGCGTGGGTGTGTATATATGTATGTATTATCATAAAATTAGGTGTGAAAAATATTAATAACTAAAATAAATTGAACTAGAATTTACTTTATTAACGTAATTCTTGATTTGAAAATTTACTTTGATTTTTTTTCCGAAAATAATTATGTGGTACCTTCCTCCGAGATAGACTAATAAATTAAGTTACTAGGAAGCAAAATTAATCAACTTAGAAATATTACTTATAAACTAAAACACGTGATGGTTTCATTGTTTGAATGAACAAGTGAAACCACTACGCAATTGTCTTATCTATTTGAATAATTTTTTTTTTACTTTACCCTCAACTATTCTACTCAATCTTATTTTTTTCTTCTTCTTTTTTAATTTTCACTCTTACTTATTTTCTTATTTTCTTAGCTTTTTTAAAAATTTTAAATTATTTTTTATATTTTTTTTTCTAATTTTCACCCGTAGTTTTTTCCTTGGGTTCTTTTTTTTTTTTTAATTTTAAATTATTTCATTTTGATCCCTAAAATTTTAAAATAAAAATTTTAATCTCTAGCCGATGCACTATGTCTTTTTTTTTCCTTTGTTTTTTTTTTTTTTGTTTTTCTCATCAATGTATGTTCCTTTTTTTTTATTTGATTGAGTATTAAAATTTTTAAAAATCGATCATTATTTTTTTCCACACGGCCGATGATTTACTTTACCCTCACACTATACTACTCAATCTTAGTTTTTCTTTTTTTTTTTCCTTTTTTAAAAAAATTTCACTATTACTTTTTTTCTTATTTTTTAAAAATTTTTACTCTTATTGTTTAAAATTTATTTCTTCAATTATTTATTTCTTATTAAAATTATAATCAAATTAAAATTTTGATATAACTTTATTTGTTAATAAACTTGCTTTTTTAATATATGAATTTTGGAATAAAATTTTAGAACATCGGCTTTTTTAAAATATATTATTATAATTTATACAATAAATTATATTTATGCTTTTTAAATGAGTGTTTTTTTTTAAATATATTATTATAATTTATAAATTCTGATTATATATATATAGTTTCATTAGAAATTAACTATATATCCGTACACATAATACCCATTTTTTATTATTTATTTTTTATATTCTAATTTTTTTAAATAAAATAAGTTATATAATGTTTTGAAAGAACTTTCCAATTATTCAAATACAAATTTTTATGCTAATATATATATATATATATATATATATATATATCAAGCGATTTTGCTTAATATATACATTCGATTTACATTAATAATCAAAAATAAAATTTTTACTCACATTATACCATACGAATCATTAACGCTACATATATAATGGATGCCCGACCGCAGATGTAGCGGGTACCCATCTAGTAAACACTATAGTAATTTAACAGTTTTTTTTTTAATTGTTGTTTTTACAATATATTCATGTAGGAAATAAAAATGGCTGCAGTAACAGGGTTCTAATTAGGAATGCCCTATCATTGAATTCACACTGTGCATTTGTTTTTGTCGCAGTTTTCCTTGCGAGAAACGTTGACTAATCTACATCTGGTAGAAACTTACAAGTGGTGGATTATGACACGGAACTTATGCATTCCTTGCCTTCGGATTAAGTGGTGGATACGGACACATCAACGATGAATTTATATCTGATTTTCCTAGAAATTTCAATGCCCTTCTCCAAGAACTTACATCTCTATCATGAGGTTTATTAAATTCAAAAAAGCAGAAATTAACTATTCGTACTTTGACTGCCTTTTTCTTTCGTCAACCTTCTGCCAAGGATCCATTGACTATCTTAAACAAGCACAATTTTTCAAAACCAAAACATAAAAACAAAAAAAAAATATTACACTGGCATGGGATGCAACAATTTTTATTGCTATAAGAAGATAAATGAGGAGCACATCACCTTCATCTTCATACTTTGTTCTAAATTAATAACATATTAAAAACTGAACGAATAATATAAAAAATATGAAAACTTAATATGTTAAGCTAAATGAAGGATTTTCGTCGTAAAAAAAATCATGTTTAGGTTATGTGACATTTTCAGATAGTTTGGTTGAAAAAATAAAAAAAATTGATTGAAAATTTGCTTAAATGAAATAAATATAGTTTATTCATTTTTAGATATAAAATAAATTAAAAACTTAACTCATTATATAAGAATAGACTGAAGACTCAATTCAATAAATAAAGACATATAAGATTATTTTTTAAATAAAAATATAGTCTAATATAAAAGTTTATTTTCCAATGAACTCTTAGTCTAAAGGCTCATCATTTCTTGATTGAGTCATAACACTAGCAAAAGTGACATAACACCAAATTGTGATAAGTTTTTTATTTTAGTTCTAAATTGTAAGTATATCCTTTAATCTTTGTGTTATATGATTATTCTTTTCTTTCTATTCTATTTTCTTAAATGATTCATTTTTCTAATAACCGATATCATAGCCCGAGGTTTGCGGAATAAGGTGAAATGTGACGAAAAAAGAAAAATTAAGAACCGACAAGTTTGATGGTAAAGATTTTGGATTTTGAAATATGTAGATTGAAGATTATTTATACCAAAATAAACTATACGAATCTCTATCAAGGGAAAAGCCAAAGCAAATGAAAGATGTTGATTGGGTTTTATTAGATTGCAAGGTGCTTGGGTTTTATTCGACTAGCATTGATGTGAAATGTTGCTTTTAACATCATGAAAGAAAATATTACAATAGCTATGATGACATTGTTTTCAAATATGCATGAGATGCTGTATATCTTAAACAAAATAATTTTTATGCATTGATTATAATCTAAAAATGACGAGGGTGCATTTGTAATAAATCACATTAATAAATTTAATGTACCGATTAGTCAATTAGACTCGATAAACATCATGTTCGATGATGAAATTAAGGCATTGATTTTTGCTATCTTCCCTATTTGAAAGTTGGTCTAAAACGATAACAGCGAGTAAGTAGTTCATTAAAGAATGAGAAACTAAAATAATGTTTAAGATTTAATGATCAATGAAGATTTTTACGAAATGAGTCTAGAGAATCTTTAGGTTCTCGTTTGAGTGCCGATAGCATAAAAAGGGACTCTCAACGAGGTCGAATCATGGTCACGACAAGTCAAAATCGAAAGGTAGAGAAAAATCCAAAAGCTGTAAGGCTCTAAGGAAGAAAAAGAATGAGGAAGATGAAGCTACATACGTAACAACTAATGAAATTACGGTGTATTAATTTGCAATATGAATAATCCTATTGAATCTTACATTCTAGAATCGGTACGTTGTTTCATTTTACTCCATGTAAATATTTCTTACAAAAATATATTATAAGAAATTTTAGGAAGGTTTATCTTACAAATGATAAACCTCTAAAAATCATGGAAAAATGCAAGGTTAGTATCGTAACTACCAATAGAACGTATTGAAAGCTACGGAATGTTAGGCATATTCTAGGTCTCTAGATGAATCTAATTTTTATTAGTAAACTCGATAATGTTAAATATACAACTCGTATATGAGATGGTTCATGAAAGATAACGAAAGAGAATATGATTTTAGAACGAGTAATAAGGTTAGGACTTTGTACAAGTTTACTATAATAAGAGATAGAGCAATAGTGGCCAATTCTAATGGTGATGGTGATTCGATATGGTGGCACCAAAGCCTTGGCCATATGAGAGAAAAGGGTTTGAAGCGAGTTAGGATCAAAGAAAAAATTATCAAAATTGAAACATGTTGATGTTGTCTTATGTAAGGCTTGCATCCATGAAAGCATAATCGAGTTTTTTTTTCTTAAAATCCGGTGGATCTTTAAAGAAAGAGAAGCTAGAATTGGTGTATAAATGTATGGGGACCAGCCTCTGTGACTTCTCTTGGAGGCTCACGCTACTCTATCACTTTTATTTATGACTCCACTAGAAAGGTATGCATTTATTTTTTGAAAATTAAATTTGATGTGTTTGTTTTGTTTAAAAAATAAAAGGATGAAGTTTAAAATTAGACTCGGTTTAAAGATCAAAGCC